TATTTTATTGGTGTTTGAATAAATTGAACTGTTTTGATCACTTGATCAGTTTTTCCGATTTTATTTGCGTGTAACTTTTTGTAAATCATTTCCATGATTTATAATTTACTATTTTACAGTGCCTGAAGACAACTTTTCAGCCAACATGCTCATCTGGGTAATGCCAGCTTGGGTGCTGTGAGGGAATATTAGGTAAGATGTCCTTGACATGATGCAGTCTCTTGATAAATTTCAGGGCCATACACTCCCCCTAAAAATTTAGTTGCATTCATTGTATAGTACATGCCACAATAACCCATCAAATAAAAATTGACCAATTTAAAACCTAAAAAGAAAATATTGTGTGCTTATCAAAAAATTATTGAGATGATATTTGATAGCTTTTGGCTAGTTCTACAATCTATCATCAAGACAATTAAAAAATAATTATTGGTTCAGGAGTTATAAGCTTTTGAGAATCATCTAATTTTTATATGTTATATATAAAATTTTCCAAATTTGAAACGTGTAATTTTGGCCCACCTTAAGTCACGCATAAAATATATTTTTTAATTCTGGTAAATCACGCGATATAATTCATCCATAAAATTAAAATAAAAAAATTTCACGCGTTTTTTTTTTTTTAGTCAATAATCTTGATAATAATAATTGCATTGAAATTTATGAATATAAAATAATCTCATTCAAAATTTTTTGTTTGAAGTTTCTCTTGAAGGACCTTTGACTTGTTGTGCTAGACATATTTTAGCAACCCAAGATGGTTTTAAAAACCAAAAACCCTTACTTCAAGAATTAATTGAAGAAAGAGGACATAAAGTCATCTTCTATCCAAAGTTTTACTGTGAGATTAACTACGTTGAAATGTATTTGGGGGCTGCTAAATGCTATGTTAGACAACATTATAATTACACATGGAAAAGTCCTTAAGAGAATGTCCCAATGCTTTTGATTCTATATCACTGAAACAAAATTAAAAAGTATGTGATGAGAGCCTCAAAATTTATGGATTGTTACAGAAAAGGATTAACAATACCACAGGCCGAATATATTGTAAAAAAATATAAGTCACATAAAAGGAATCCAGACAATGTGATGGATGGAAATTGAATTAAACTAATAATATTTTTATTTTTGATCGACATCTTTAATCGTGTCATGTTACCTCAAATTTTTTTAACATCAAATTTGTAATGAAAGTAATAAAAAAAAATTCAAAATTTTTTATTTTTTTGTGAATTAGAAACATTATGCACAGCATTTCATGGGTTATAGTGGCGTGCACCGTACCATCGGAGAGTCACGGTCAGATTAGCCTTGTGTACTCAAGGAATGTGTGAGAATGACTGTGTAGTGTCAAAGTAGCATATGACTTCAACGCTTGTAATTTTCTGATAATCAAACATTACATATCGAATTGTTACATGTCAAATTATTCCATATTGAATTGTTCTTCTGTAACAATTGTGTTGCCTTGACACCTTAATATGATTTAATATTAGTGTTAATAATGATTATATGAGAAGCAAAACGATGCCAATAGTTTATTATCACAAGAATTGTCTATAATAATACCTAAAGAGACATGGCAAGCTCCGCTCCGCGTTTGATTTCAACAATATACATTTATATAAAATAAAAGGCAATACATCATCAATACATTTATTATAAAACAATCAAAAAAATTAAATACACAAAATAAAAAATTATGTACTTTTCGTTGTGAATAAACAACACCCTATCTTCTTTAGAAGAACCATACATGCCAAACCACAACATTCACGTTCCCTCGTCTTGTAAAAAGATAAAAAAAATTCAATCGCGTCAACAAAAATAGCATTCTTCGTACAACCAATACACACGTAATAATTAGTCGTGCGCGTGCTTATGCCGATCAGAACAAAAATTTCTCATTTTTTATTTTTTTAAAATGTTCAAGCAATCAAATAAAAGAAGAAAAACCGAGGATATTTGGGAATCAACGAAATCAACGAAAAGTAAGTATTATAAAAAGAATGATTGTGCTTGTCGTCATTCTAGTTTAAAAAATAACAATAGTTAACCTAATACATATTTGTTCATTTTTTCAGCACGACTATTATACAGTCCGATTTTAAATTTGAAGATATGGCATTGGTGGATTGGAGACAGAATTTAATGCCATATTTCGTCGTGCATTTGCATCTAGAGTTTTTCCACCCGAATTAGCAGAAAAATTTGGCATTCAACACGTTAAAGGTTTCTAACATATTGACATTAATATACATAAGTAAGGGATTAAATAATACATTTTTTAATTTTATATATATATATATTTAAAACTTGGTTTTTTTAAGGTATTCTTCTTCATGGACCGCCTGGAACAGGGAAAACATTATTGGCTAGACAAATTGGAAAAATGTTAAATGTGCAAGAATTAAAAGTTATTAATGGACTGGTAATATTGAATAAGTACATAGGTCAATCTGAAGAAAATATTCATCAATTGTTTGCTGATGTAGAAAGAGAATATAAGGAGAAAGATTCTGGGTTACATATAATAATATTTGATGAGTTAGATGCTATATGTAAACAACGTGGTAGTGATGGAACTGGTAGAACTGGTGTTGGTGATAGCATTATAAATCAGATATTAGCAAAGGTTAATTCTTTTTATTATAATAATAATATTATTATTATTATTGATTTATTAAGGAAATGATTCTTTAATTATATAGATGGATGGTGTTGAACAATTGAACAATATATTAATCATTGGTATGACTAATCAATTGGATATGATTGATGAGGCATTACTTCATCCTGGTTGGTCTTATATTATTTATCTGTGTAAAAATAAAAATAAAACTTTTTTAATCATAAATATTTTTTTGATTCTTAAAAGGTCGTTTGGAAGTTCACATGGAAGTTAGCTTACCAGATGAATACAAATATTAAAAATTCATACTTCAAAGGTGAAAAAAAAATAAATATTATTTGTTAAGTAAAAAACAAATTATATAATTGAGTAGAATATTATTATTTACTTTTTTGAATTTTAGATGAAAAAAAAAATAATACTTTGGATGTTGATGTTGATCTAGATGAATTGGCTAGTTTAACCAAAAATTTTAGTGGTGCAGAAATCAGTGGACTTATTAAGAGTGCTAGTTCATTTGCATTTAATAGACATATCAAAGTAGAAACACTCACAGGGATAAGACCAGATTTTGAAAACATGAAAATAAATAGAGATGATTTCCTAGAGGCATTGAATGAAACGCACCCAGCTTATGGTGTCAGCAATGAAGAATTACAACGTTATATCCAAAATCAAATTATTCCATTTGCACCGCATGTAAATAAGATTGTGGGCGAGACTGCGAAACCTCAAAATACGAAACTCTGCCGAAACTCTAATAAACAATTAATGTGTAACCTGCCGAAACCCTGCTGATTGATTTCTGGAGGAGTTTCAACAAGCAACCTTAATTGTAAAGGGCATCTCTTCTCCTATACATGTTTGTCAAAATTAATTTGACTTTGACCCAACTCTCAAAATCACAATTTTTAATTGCATCTAACTAATAATTTATATGTTTTTCATATGGCTCAATTAATTGCGTCAAAAAAGTCACCTGATTGAGTCAAGTGATCAACCTATTTCTACCACATCATCTCCGCTTTGCTAAAGCTTAAGCATAAGGGGAGCAGAGGTGAGCTAGCTAGCAAAAAATCATTATTTTTTACCCAACTTTTTGGAAGGAATTTTTTGTTCAACAAATTGCTCTTTTGAACCCTGATAATAAATAACTATATCTTGAACATGACATAACTTTATGCATATTGTAAACTTCAAAGCCAAAAATCAAAAAACCAGCATGGCCAATATCACATGCAAAGCCAAAGTCATTTTATTTTAAAAAGGGTTATATAAATATAATTATATATAACAATTTCAAGAATCTCATATTTGTTTTTTCTTTAACATTAAATTAAAAGTTCTTACATTAAAATGTTTTGAGAATATTTTTATTTCAAATAAAATCTTTTCACCTAATTATTTGATAAAGATACAAAGAATAACTTTAAAATTTTTAATATTTTCACCAACAACTTTGTTAAGTCATTTACAAGTAGCATATTAATATGTTTTAATGGTAGAGTATTATCATTAGATATTTTCTCAAAATTAAATCTTATTTCATATTTATATATAACATTACATTATACAATCACATGTGAAGTTGTAATAATTAAAATAATTAAATATTTATATATAATTTATATACTTCATATTCTTCTAGCAAATATACTTCTTTCTTTTTATTTTTAAGATCCAAATTCTTTTCATAATAATGACCATGCTCATAATAACAATAAGGTTCATTATTAATACTGTTGCGTATGTCTAAAACATTAAAATCTACAAATCTTTCATGAAAATCTACATCATCTGTTGTTGTATTAATCTTTTGTGGATTATGATGTATTGCACATTCAGGTCTTTTGACTCTACTTAATAATGAATTTTTAATTTGATTTTGATCAATTTTGAAAATAAAACTTTTGTTTGTTTTAATACTATAAGAAGCATCTGAGGGTTTTCCTTTTAAATTCCAACATACTGGATTATACCCTCCAATTAATTCTCCAGTTTCTTTAATTTCCATGATGACAACTGTTTGTTCAATGTTATAGCATTTCTCCTCAAAAGTTGACCTTGAAAATCCATCTTGGGACCCACTGAGTATCAAATTAAATTTATATGGTAAATCATTTGGATTATAAAAATCTTTTTCTTCATCAATCCAACTGGAAACTAGAGATTTCATTTCTAAACTTAATAAATTTCCAATTCCTGATCTTGGTCCTTTTCGAACTAATAACCTTGATTGCCATTCAACATTAAGATGATGTTCAAGGATTTCTTCGTACAAATCTTTATCAAATGCTTTTTTATAAGGTTTGATTTTTTTATAAAAATTTGTAGAAGTGATTTGATCAAATCTTACTAATGGAATAAGACCATCTAATATATTTTTTAATTTATCAAAATCTTCTCTATCCCATTTTGAAATATCTTTTCTCAAATTTTCATCTTGTCCTATTCCCCATTGAATGACATAATCCCAAATATCAATTTCCTCTAATTTTAAACTATCTCTTTTTAATATAGTTATTAGCATCAGTTTTTCAATATCTTTGAAACTGTTTGATTTAAAAAATAATTCTGGTTTTTTATCAATCAATTCATTGCAATGGCTTTGAAGTAAACTGAATGATTTATATTTTAATTTATAAAGATTAGTTAAATTCTGTTGAACCCATTCTTTTTTTTCAATAATTAAATAATTTTGTATATCTTCAATTAATTCATCAAAGTTTAATTCATCACATGCTTCAAGAAGTTTAAGAATTTCATCTGGATCCAGGTTATCAATATTAACAATTCCATTGTAAATATATCTTTGAAAAAATCATTTTTTTTAAATTTAACATTTAACATTGTTTCAATAAAAAACATATTATAATTAATTATTTAATTAATGATAATACTTACATTAAAAGAACTTCAAATATTTTTGGAGAAATATTTTCTTTTTCAAATAAAATAATTCCACCATCAGATCTTTTTACCCAATTATTTGATAAAGCTGCTTTGAAATAAACGGATCTTGCTTTTAAAATATTGGAATGAGCTTTAAAAGTCTTAACATCATCATCATCATCACCTTCTCCAACTTTAATTTCTACATCATAAAAATCTGATTCATTTAACAAGTCAGTTAAATCATTGAAAAGCTTACTCATATGTTTTAATGGTAGGATATCTTCATTAGAATCAATAAACTTTTCAAATAAGTTTTTGATGTTTTCTAAAGATGCAAGACTATTATTAGGCATTTGGAATATTGCGAGAAGATAAATCAAATTATAAATAAATTTATTATTATTTATTTATTTGTTTCACGAAAATAATTAACTTCGTAGATAATTTAACCAATTAATTTTTATTTTTCACAACAATTAATGAGTAAGCAAAGATTTAGGAATAACGTTGGTTAAATAGTGGGTACTAACAATGGTCAATGAAGTATGGTCCAAAGGTTAATTGAGAAATACTGGTAGAGTCATTGTATAAATGTTTAAGTTGTTTGTAAATAAACCAAAGCAAGCTTGTAATTGTAAATGATTGGATGAATCAGTCATAAGCAAATAAAACCCACTCTATAAAGTCCTTGAGCTTTCTAAAAGATACATATCTATATTCGATGCGTTGAGCATGCTTACAGATCCAACGAAGCTTTCTATATAGATACAAGAAGCAGAAGTAAGCAAGAATCATAGTAAATTTGTAAACTAATTAATTGACAAACATTAAATTATTGTGTATTGGTTGCAATTAACTTATAAGAATAGACAAGCCATTGTCGGTTATACTTGTTAAATAACAATCAACCCTCCCTAAGTGCACTCATTTTAAATTCACATGTTGTTCTCATTCCGAGTAGAGGTTGGAATCGACCAAAAAATCCTTAGTCGACTACTAGTTGGTCGAAAATTTCTTTATTCGACTAAATTTTTTTTTTATAATAATAACAAATAACAATTTCGTTTTAATTTACAAATTACGAATTCATTTCCATTTGAATCTTTCATTTTTTCAAAATGCTTCCACACAAATCCATGCGTTACGATTCGTTTGTTTAAAGATCTTCTAGAACCACCGCTTAACTCATTGGAACTCGAAGCCAATGAACTATTGGACCTTGTATTGGAAGTGTTTATTCATTCGCATGTAAAATTATCATCAACAACACCACTACTATTGTCGTCATCATCATATTGATGGTATTGATACTCTTCCGCATAGAAATTTTCCATTTTGAATGATAAAACACAAAAATGTAATTGGTCAGACAATAATAATATTAGCATAGTATTAGTATTAGTATTAGTAGTATTAGTAGTCGATTAATTAGTCGACTATTTTAGTCGATTCCAACCTCTAAGAAGGGAAGGCCACCAAAGCTATTCCTTCGAACATAACTTTCTTACTAAGCGGCAACGGTTCTTATTGTAAAAGTGCGGGTAGAATAACAGTACTACTGATGAAGTTGTTAAAAATAGGTTCATTGCATGTGATAGACTCACAGAAAACCTCAAACGGGGATAGGAAGCTTTTACAAGGTTTGCATGATTTAATTATTCGCTGACTGATTTAATCAATGCTTTTTCTTTATAGTGACAAAAATGTCTGGAATCGGGTGTCCACATAATGAGCCTTGACTGTACATATACAATGACTGATATTAATGAAACAAAAGGGCAAAAGGGACTATCCGTTAGTTATCCATTATTATTATATCAATATCAATATTAAGAATTTTGTATCGAATGATTATAAAACAAAAAAATCAATGCATTCTTTTATTTTATAAAAAATATCCGATATTGTTGTTTAAATGTACAATAATTTCTTTTTTGGCCGAGAAACATGGCTGATTTGTATTCAAATGAGCAACCACCACCGTTAAGACCAAACAGACAAAAGCGTAGTTGGACATGGACTTACTTGAAAGTGATAACAGCGATCAAGAAGAACCAATAAAAATTAGTCTTAAATGAAGCTGGTAAAGAATAGCTCTACTGGAAATCAAATAAATCATAATTCAAAACAATTCGTCCTTTGATTAATTAATTGATATATTAATATATTAGTATATTAATTAAGATCAATCATTATCCAATAATATTCGCTATTTTTAATAATAATGGAAACAAACTAATATAAATATAAAATCATGAAACGTGTCCAACATTTGTTCTAACCCAAAAATTAAAAATTTTCATGCTAATATCGTTGTTCCTTACCATTAATGGTTTTTTATTTTAACTTATCTTGTAATTTGCCGTTATTGGGCTTTTAAACAAAAATTTGTTGCCCGGGCTTCAAAAGTTCATTGAGTCAGTAAATTCCGATGTGTGGGTGATGTTCGAATATTTAAAGGATTTGTTTAGAAACAAATTTTTAAGGCAACTATCTTTGTTAAATATTGTTAACATAAAATATAGAAAAATAATTATTAGGACGTAAAATTTACATAATCTAGGTTTTGAATATTGTAATGCTCGATCATATTAACAATATTCTTTCTTCACCTTCTCATTCACCCAATAACTTTTACTTGAAGATTTGGGCAGAAATAGAAAAATGCATTTGCATAATTTTTTAAAGAAAAAATGCATATATATTACTGTTTTCAGTGTTTATTTCTTTCTGGCCCATTTTGTTTGCTATTGTATTCAATTTACCAAAAATTTTCACGCCCTTATAAATAATTGTAAAACACATAATTTCGTAACGTAACTAGTTCATGATAGTATGTATAATATAATACCTCTAGTTTATGAGTACAATTTTTATTATAATAAAAAAATATGTATTGAGCAAAGACTGCTGCAATATGACCATGGTTTTTCACCATCGACATTTGTTTTCACAAAAAACA